AGTTTGTTGCAAGTTGTTGACAGAGATTGTTATTGTTGTTGAAATAAATGTACCGTAAACATTATTGCATACTGGTTTTGTGCAAGCTTCTGAATACATCTGCATTTTACGAATTCAAGTAAAATTTCGCGAATCTAGTCAGAATGAGTGTTACTGGACGGTTACGAACGATACGATGTGAATTAGGCTATCTTCGTCGAGCAGATGGTTCTTGTTCATACTCGCAAGGGAAGACCTCCGTATGGGCTAGTTGTTCGGGGCCTGGTATGTTTCTTTTGTTATAAAATCAAAATGTTCGCGCAGTAACGTTTCTCATGGAAACGGTAGTTCGGATTGAAGTTTCGGAATAAATTTCATATCAGTTTCAATTATCTTATTCTTTTATATTCGCGGTCCTTTTGGCACGAATTATCTTTAGGTGACATCCATGTTGCCCGGAGAGAGGACGACCAAATGCATTTGGATATTAGCTTTCGGCAGTTACATGGAGACTGTCAATACCATCACGTACGTCATCTTACTATCCTTATCATCTCACAGTGTTCGGCATTTTAGCTGAATAATATCATTCAAGCTGCTTTGGAAACTGTTCTAGACTTGGAAATGTTTCCGCGGACTGGATTGACGGTAATTTTTTAGCACCTATGGTTAGTGACAGGAATTACAAGCTATCACCAAATATTGATAGGTAACAGCCCATCTTCTACAAGCAGATGGTAGCATCGATGCCACGGCCATGACTGCAATCGGATTGGCGGTCTTGGACAACGGAATTGTCATCAAGTAAGCTTCAGTGGCAGTCCGACTTTTTTCGGAGGGGGAGGGCTCCGAAATTGATGCTCTTCTGATTTTGTGGAACTATAATCTGGATTTTTCATAGCATAGACGTGCTTTCTGCAAAGCTAGTCAGTAAACAGCCGCTTGCACACAGGGCTCGGCACGAGCTGGCACCAAGAAAATTTCAGAGCAAATCCCCTTTAACTCTGAATCCTAAGCGTAAAAAACCCCTCAGAAAAACGAAACATCGGCTAAAAAAAACCTCGCAATTTTTGTGACTTTTCGGCCACAAAAATGATTTTCCCTTTGCGTTTGTTCTTGAAACGATATTCAGATTAAGCCTGGTGCCAGCTGTGCCGAGCCTGCTTGCACATTATAGCGCATGTAAGCTGCTTTCGAATTTTTGCGATCCATTTTCGAGTTGGGCAGGGAAAGGGAGGGGGAGCGGGGCTCGATGAGCTCTTATCAGCTTTTTTTTCGGTTGATACGTAAGCCTTGCAATAAAAAAAGAACTTTTACAAAAATTCGTTACAAAAAATTGTAAGTCGAGTCCTGTACTTTCAATGTGATTAACGTAATATCTTATCATGATAGTAAGAAATTCCATTCCAACCGACATTTAAAGGTTGTAGAAAAGTTCGAAAATCATAACTACTTTTAGAGACAATCGGCACGATTTTTTCTCAAATAGGTTAGAGCGAGTCATAAACATAATATCGAAATAAATTTGGTTTGGCGGAGTTTAGCAATTGTAGCGATCGAAATATTTATGAATTGTCATTTTGAACAGATTCAACCATAATCAATAATAAAGGATGCGGATGCTATATGTACAAATATTTAGTAGGAGAAATTAGGGAAATTAGGGGAAGAATTACTTCTTGCTATCTTAAACCGTTTGTATCGTTGCCATATGCGAGGAAATCATTCACATATCATTGATAGCGCAAGATTTTTTCTCTAGGTATCAAACCAAATGACTTTGAAGCAGTAACGGATCATCATAAATTTTGGCAAAAACGCAATAATCTCAAATTCAGCTCAGCGCTCTATGCGTTATGATGACTTGTGAAGTTGTAAATGATTGTATTAGAGAATTTCGGAAGATTTTTGCCCTTGTTTTCTGTGAAGTGTGCATCTGAAGTGCAGAAGGTTATTTCCGGAGTGTGAACTGTGCGTTTCTCAGCACTTTATTTAGCATTTTAGAGCTCCTTTCTGTGGTGTAGAAGTTTGCGAAGTTGATGGCAAATTAGTTTTGGACGCAGATGCGAGGACAGAGTCGAAAGCGACGGCCCATTGGCTTTTCGTATTCACTAGGACAGCAGAAGTTAGATCATTTATCTTGAAAAAACTTTTTTTTTT